CACATGTGTGACATTTATCACATGTATGACATTTATCAACATGTGTGACATTTATCAACATGTATGACATTTATCAACATGTGTGACATTTATCACATGTATGACATTTATCACATGTATGACATTTATCACATGTATGACATTTATCACATGTGTGGCATTTATCACATGTGTGACATTTATCACATGTATGACATTTATCACATGTGTGACATGTATCACATGTATGACATTTATCAACATGTATGACATTTATCAACATGTATGACATTTATCAACATGTATGACATTTATCACACATGTATGACATTTATCAACATGTGTGACATTTATCACATGTGTGACATTTATCACATGTTTGACATTTATCAACATGTATGACATTTATCACATGTATGACATTTATCACATGTGTGATATTTATCAACATGTATGACATTTATCACATGTGTGGCATTTATCAACATGTATGACATTTATCACATGTGTGACATGTATCACATGTGTGACATTTATCACATGTATGACATTTATCAACATGTGTGACATTTATCAACATGTATGACATTTATCAACATGTGTGACATTTATCACATGTATGACATTTATCACATGTATGACATTTATCACATGTATGACATTTATCACATGTGTGGCATTTATCACATGTGTGACATTTATCACATGTATGACATTTATCACATGTGTGACATGTATCACATGTATGACATTTATCAACATGTATGACATTTATCACATGTATGACATTTATCAACATGTGTGACATTTATCAACATGTATGACATTTATCACATGTATGACATTTATCAACATGTATGACATTTATCACATGTATGACATTTATCACATGTGTGACATGTATCACATGTATGACATTTATGACATGTATGACATTTATCAACATGTGTGACATTTATCACATGTATGACATTTATCACATGTATGACATTTATCACATGTATGACATTTATCACATGTGTGACATTTATCACATGTTTGACATTTATCACATGTGTGACATTTATCACATGTGTGACATTTATCAACATGTATGACATTTATCAACATGTGTGACATTTATCAACATGTATGACATTTATCAACATGTGTGACATTTATCACATGTATGACATTTATCACATGTATGACATTTATCAACATGTATGACATTTATCACATGTATGACATTTATCACATGTGTGACATGTATCACATGTATGACATTTATGACATGTATGACATTTATCAACATGTGTGACATTTATCACATGTATGACATTTATGACATGTATGACATTTATCACATGTATGGCATTTATCACATGTGTGACATTTATCACATGTTTGACATTTATCACATGTGTGAAATTTATCAACATGTATGACATTTATGACATGTATGACATTTATCAACATGTGTGACATTTATCACATGTATGACATTTATGACATGTATGACATTTATCACATGTATGACATTTATCACATGTGTGACATTTATCACATATATGACATTTATCACATATATGACATTTATCACATATATGACATTTATCACATGTGTGACATGTATCACATGTATGACATTTATCAACATGTATGACATTGGTCTCTCCCTATGGACCAATACCATGTGTATATCTGTGTTGGTGATTTCAATGGTTTTGTTAAGTCTCTGAGATGATGCTGTTGTGATTTAGGGAAATACAAGAATAAGTTGTTGTTGTTGAGAGGACTTCAGGACAGAGACCTGAGACCAGGACTGATGGCCCTGGTCCTGGACTAGTTGCAGAGAGCTGGTCCTGTGTGTTTGTGGATAGTATCAGTGAAACCTGAGTTTCGTGTCCCGCCCAAATCTGCTCACAGTAAATACAGGTCGCACCTCAGGCTCACGTTAGCTTCACGTTAGCTTCCTGTCAGTAACAGACGTGTTGCTAGGGCGGTTGCTAAGGAGAGCTGGAGTTTCCCTGTGAAGGCACCTGACTGTGATCCTGGTGTCACACACTAAACCACACACTCCTGCTGTGTGCTCCTCATACCGTCCTGTAACCGCGAATACAACACTGACATTTCAGGATCTCTGACTCTTCATTATCAGGACATTTATGGTCCTTTTGTTCACATTCCTGCAGTGATCCTCCCGCTCCTCTCTCTTTGTCATCACTACATTTCCTGTGTTTGATCTGTTGTTGGAGAATCCACAACTTTATAAAGTCCTCAAACGACAGAAACACATAGATCTGACTGTAACAGAAACAGCTACAGTTTACAATGAAAGTCAACAGCAGCCAGAGCACCTCCCTATTGTGCTACACTGAGTTAGCGTGTTAGCATTGTCCATCTGTATACAGTGTGTGTGCGTGTGTGTGTGCGTGTGTGTGTTCTGTAGTCTCGCTGACGTCTGCTGCAGCTGGAGGAGCAGGTTTTGCTGCTGACACACTTTTGTTTTTACCACAAAGATCTTACAGAAGGAAATAATGGATTAGGAGTTTAACAGTCTGATACTTCAGTCTGAGAGCGGCCCCGGCCGGGGCTCAGGGTGGGACTCCGGCCCCGGGGCTCAGGGTGGGACTCCGGCCCCGGGGCTCAGGGTGGGACTCCGGCCCCGGGGCTCAGGGTGGGACTCCGGCCCCGGGGCTCAGGGTGGGACTCCGGCCTCTGAGGCCTAATGTTCATGGGGCAGAAATCTTTTCAAACAAAAACGAGACACTAAAGGCAGGTCCTACAACGACAGGGAATCAGATCCTGCAGTGCCAGACGTGTCCGCCTGCTGAAGCCAGTGCATGTCCAGGCCCGTCTGAAGTTTGCCAGAGAGCACATGGATGATCCAGGCCCGTCTGAAGTTTGCCAGAGAGCACATGGATGATCCAGGCCCGTCTGAAGTTTGCCAGAGAGCACATGGATGATCCAGGCCCGTCTGAAGTTTGCCAGAGAGCACATGGATGATACAGCAGAGGATTGGGAGAATGTCATGTGGTCAGATGAAACCAAAGTACAACTGTTTGGTATAAACTCAACTCGTCGTGTTTGGAGGAAGAAGAATACTGAGTTGCATCCCAAGAACACCATACCTACTGTGAAGCATGGGGGTGGAAACGTCATGCTTTGGGGCTGTTTTTCTGCTAAGGGGACAGGACGACTGATCCGTGTTAAGGAAAGAATGAACGGGGTCATGTATCGTGAGATTTTGAGCCAAAACCTCCTTCCATCAGTGAGAGCTTTGAAGATGAAACGTGGCTGGGTCTTCCAGCATGACAATGATCCCAAACACACCGCCCGGGCAACGAAGGAGTGGCTCCGTAGGAAGCATTTGAAAGTCCTGGAGTGGCTCCGTAGGAAGCATTTGAAAGTCCTGGAGTGGCTCCGTAGGAAGCATTTGAAAGTCCTGGAGTGGCCTCGCCAGTCTCCAGACCTCAACCCCATTGAACATCTGTGGAGGGAGTTGAAAGTCTGTGTTCACTGCTCTCGAGAAGATCTGCATGGAGGAATGGGACAAAATACCAGCTACTGTGTGTGCAAACCTGGTAAAGACCTTTAGTAATTGTTTGACCTGTTATTGCCAACAAAGGTTATATTAAAGTATTGAGTTGAATTTGTGTTATTGACCAAATACTTATTTTCCACCATAATTTACAAATAAATTCTTTAAAAATCCTACAATGTTAATTCCTGGATTTTTCTCCACATTCTGTCTCTCACAGTTGAAGTGAACCTATGATGAACATTACAGACCTCTGTCTTTAGTTTAAGTGCTGTTCTCAAACGCTCTCCATCCAACCTCACTGAGCTCCAGCTGTTTTGCAAGGAAGAATGGGAAAGAATTCCAGTCTCTCGATGTGCAAAACTGATAGAGACATACCCCAAGCGACTTGCAGCTGTAATTGCAGCAAAAGGTGGCGCTACAAAGTATTAGTGCAAGGGGCCGAATAATATTGCAAGGCACTGTATATATATATATATATTATATATATATATATATATATTATATACACACACACACACAAAAACTTAAGTACTCATGTCTCTGTGCGGCTGGTTCTAATACTAATGGTTCTAACACTGTTATCATCCCAGGGCCATATCATAAACCATGTGTGTGTTGCAGATGGTACTATGGAAACATAAACCATGTGTGTGTTGCAGATGGTACTATGGAAACATAAACCATGTGTGTGTTGCAGATGGTACTATGGAAATATAAACCATGTGTGTGTTGCAGATGGTACTATGGCAACATAAACCATGTGTGTGTTGCAGATGGTACTATGGAAACATAAACCATGTGTGCGTTGCAGATGGTACTATGGAAACATAAACCATGTGTGTGTTGCAGATGGTACGATGGAAATATAAACCATATGTGCGTTGCAGATGGTACTATGGAAACATAAACCATGTGTGTGTTGCAGATGGTACTATGGAAATATAAACCATATGTGTGTTGCAGATGGTACTATGGAAACATAAACCATGTGTGTGTTGCAGATGGTACTATGGAAATATAAACCATATGTGCGTTGCAGATGGTACTATGGAAACATAAACCATGTGTGTGTTGCAGATGGTACTATGGAAATATAAACCATATGTGTGTTGCAGATGGTACTATGGAAACATAAACCATGTGTGTGTTGCAGATGGTACTATGGAAATATAAACCATATGTGCGTTGCAGATGGTACTATGGAAACATAAACCATGTGTGCGTTGCAGATGGTACTATGGAAACATAAACCATGTGTGTGTTGCAGATGGTACTATGGAAATATAAACCATGTGTGTGTTGCAGATGGTACTATGGAAACATAAACCATGTGTGTGTTGCAGATGGTACTATGGAAATATAAACCATATGTGTGTTGCAGATGGTACTATGGAAACATAAACCATGTGTGTGTTGCAGATGGTACTATGGAAACATAAACCATGTGTGTGTTGCAGATGGTACTATGGAAACATAAACCATGTGTGTGTTGCAGATGGTACTATGGAAACATAAACCGTGTGAAGGCGGAGAAGCTGCTGTTGGCGTCTCAGAACAAAGATGGCTCCTTCCTGGTGCGCATCAGTGAGAGCCACAGCGACGAGTACACCATCTCAGGTCAGTCCTCGGAGCGCACATACCCCGCCAAGAACACGCAATGTGGCCTTCATGCAATCACATCCCACTCTCTCCAAATCACAGCTTCATCTGTGCAGTAGTTTTTGTTTAATCTCAACAGACCAGCAATGTGGACTAGAGGCCACCCATGGTACTGCAGCCTAACTCCACATGGACTAGAGGCCACCCATGGTACTGCAGCCTAACTCCACATGGACTAGAGGCCACCCATGGTACTGCAGCCTAACTCCACATGGACTAGAGGACACCTGTGGTACTGCAGCCTACATCCACATGGACTAGAGGCCACCTGTGGTACTGCAGCCTACATCCACATGGACTAGAGGCCACCTGTGGTACTGCAGCCTACATCCACATGGACTAGAGGCCACCCATGGTACTGCAGCCTAACTCCACATGGACTAGAGGCCACCCATGGTACTGCAGCCTACATCCACATGGACTAGAGGCCACCTGTGGTACTGCAGCCTAACTCCACATGGACTAGAGTCCACCTGTGGTACTGCAGCCTAACTCCACATGGACTAGAGGACACCCATGATACTGCAGCCTACATCCACATGGACTAGAGGACACCTGTGGTACTGCAGCCTACATCCACATGGACTAGAGGACACCTGTGGTACTGCAGCCTACATCCACATGGACTAGAGGCCACCTGTGGTACTGCAGCCTACACCCACATGGACTAGAGGCCACCTGTGGTACTGCAGCCTACATCCACATGGACTAGAGGCCACCCATGGTACTGCAGCCGACATCCACATGGACTAGAGGCCACCTGTGGTACTGCAGCCGACATCCACATGGACTAGAGGCCACCTGTGGTACTGCAGCCGACATCCACATGGACTAGAGGCCACCTGTGGTACTGCAGCCTAACTCCACATGGACTAGAGGACACCTGTGGTACTGCAGCCTACATCCACATGGACTAGAGGCCATCCATGATACTGCAGCCTACATCCACATGGACTAGAGGACACCTGTGGTACTGCAGCCTACATCCACATGGACTAGAGGCCACCTGTGGTACTGCAGCCTACATCCACATGGACTAGAGTCCACCTGTGGTACTGCAGCCTACATCCACATGGACTAGAGGCCACCTGTGGTACTGCAGCCTACATCCACATGGACTAGAGTCCACCTGTGGTACTGCAGCCTACATCCACATGGACTAGAGTCCACCTGTGGTACTGCAGCCTACATCCACATGGACTAGAGGCCACCTGTGGTACTGCAGCCTACATCCACATGGACTAGAGGCCACCTGTGGTACTGCAGCCTAACTCCACATGGACTAGAGGCCACCCATGGTACTGCAGCCTACATCCACATGGACTAGAGGCCACCCATGGTACTGCAGCCTACATCCACATGGACTAGAGTCCACCTGTGGTACTGCAGCCTACATCCACATGGACTAGAGGCCACCTGTGGTACTGCAGCCTACATCCACATGGACTAGAGTCCACCTGTGGTACTGCAGCCTAAACCCACATGGACTAGAGGCCACCTGTGGTACTGCAGCCTACATCCACATGGACTAGAGGCCACCTGTGGTACTGCAGCCTTCATCCACATGGACTAGAGGCCTCCTGTGGTACTGCAGCCTAACTCCACAGGAGTCCAGTCCCTGTGCTCCTCAGAGTCCCAGCAGGAGGCCAGTCCCTGTGCTCCTCAGAGTCCCAGCAGGAGGCCAGTCCCTGTGCTCCTTAGAGTCGGCACTGTGTGTGTACGGTGTGTGTACCATGTGTGTACCATGTGTGTACCATGTGTGTACCATGTGTGTTGCAGTGCGCAGCGAGGAGAAGGTGTTCCACTTCCGGATCCAGCGCTCGGTGATCGGAGCGTACCTGGTCTCAGAGAAGATCTCCTTCTCCACTTTGGGAGAACTGGTGTCGTACTACCAGAAGAACCCCCGCAGTCTGGGGGTGACACTGCAGGAGCCCTGTGCCCAGCAGGTGAGAGGGGGGAGAAAGGGGGAAGAGGGAGAGGAGGGAGGGTGGGCAGGGGGGTGACACTGCAGGAGCCCTGTGCCCAGCAGGTGAGAGGGGGGAGAAAGGGGGAAGAGGGAGAGGAGGGAGGGTGGGCAGGGGGGTGACACTGCAGGAGCCCTGTGCCCAGCAGGTGAGAGGGGGGAGAAAGGGGGAAGAGGGAGAGGAGGGAGGGTGGGGAGGGGGGTGACACTGCAGGACCATGTGAGAGGGGGAAGGGGGGGAGAGGGAGGGAGAGACGTGAGGAAAGAGGGAGAGGAGAGAGAGAGAGAGAGATGGGAGAGAGGGGAGAGGAGTGAGGAAAGGGAGAGGAGAGAGAGAGAGAGAGGGGAGAGAGGGGAGAGAGGAGAGAGAGGGGAGAGAGGAGAGAGAGGGGAGAGGAGTGAGGAAAGAGGAGAGAGAAAGGAAAGAGAGAGGAGAGAGAGAAGGTGAGGGGGGAGGGTGTTGAAGGGTGTGACAGACAGGTTCTTACGATGGTATTATCTATCTATAAAGCAGGGAGTGTCTGTCTGTGGTCCTGTCAGTTATGGATTACACATGGTACATAGCTCGATGGTGCGCAGACTGTTTCTAGTCTTTATTTCTCTCATGATCTCAGTTTGAAATAGACCAGCATGTGCCAGAGTCAGATCCTGTCCAACCTCTGAGGCTAAGCAGGACAGGGCCTGGTTAGTGCTGTGATGGGAGACCTCTTGGAACACCAGCCACAGTGGGGCGGCTGCGGCTGTAAAGTGCCAAACTGTGGTTGTGTCCTTTGGCAAGACACTTCCCCCACATTAGAATGAGTCTGGTGTGTGTGTGAATGGCTGGTGGTGGTGGGAGACACATGTTTACAGAGAAATACATCTAAACTAGTCTTTAAAAAGAACCAAAAAGTGTTTTAACTCAAGAAAAAATGAACCTTTTTGAATCATTATTATTTACAAACTGCGTCAGTGTAACACCTCAGAGTGATCCACAGGCTCTCCGGTCTCTCTCTAGTCTCTCTCTCTGGTCTCTCTCTGGTCTGGTCTCTCTCTCTGGTCTCTCTCTGGTCTGGTCTCTCTCTCTGGTCTTTCTCTGGTCTCTCTCTGGTCTCTCTCTGGTCTCTCTCTGGTCTCTCTCTCTGGTCTCTCTCTGGTCTCTCTCTCTGGTCTCTCTGGTCTCTCTGGTCTCTCTCCGGTCTCTCTGGTCTCTCTCTCTGGTCTCTCTGGTCTCTCTCTCTGGTCTCTCTCTAGTCTCTCTCTCTGGTCTCTCTCTGGTCTGGTCTCTCTCTGGTCTCTCTCTGGTCTCTCTCTGGTCTCTCTCTGGTCTCTCTCTGGTCTCTCTCTGGTCTCTCTCTCTGGTCTCTCTCTGGTCTCTCTCTGGTCTCTCTCTGGTCTCTCTCTCTGGTCTCTCTGGTCTCTCTGGTCTCTCTCCGGTCTCTCTGGTCTCTCTCTCTGGTCTCTCTGGTCTCTCTCTAGTCTCTCTCTCTGGTCTCTCTCTGGTCTGGTCTCTCTCTGGTCTCTCTCTGGTCTCTCTCTGGTCTCTCTCTGGTCTCTCTCTGGTCTCTCTCTGGTCTCTCTCTCTGGTCTCTCTCTCTGGTCTCTCTCTGGTCTCTCTCTGGTCTCTCTCTGGTCTCTCTCTGGTCTCTCTCTCTGGTCTCTCTCTCTGGTCTCTCTCTGGTCTCTCTCTGGTCTCTCTCTGGTCTCTCTCTGGTCTCCTGGTGATTAAACAGGTGTCGGCGCCTTTGGCCAAATCCAGGATTTGGGAAAAACAAACGCCTTGTGCCAAATGCATCATGCGGCAAAACACACACAGACACACAGAGAGAGAGACCAGAGAGAGGCTCCGCCCCCTGAGGCTCCGCCCCCTGAGGCTCCGCCCCCTGACCATGACAGAAACATCAGAGTCGCCTCGTTCAGGATCTGACTCGTCACTTTCTTCATTTTTACAAAGAACAAACAAATCTCTTCTGTTTTGTGCGTTTGTGTTTTTCCAGAAGAACTGAGACTGAGGAGGATCTGCACAACCACTGGCTTTAGATCAGGATAAACATGCTAGCTCAATGCTAACCCGCTAGTTCAATGCTAACCCGCTAACTCAATGCTAGCCTGCTAGCTCAATGCTAACCCACTAGCTCTGGCTCCTGTTGATTTCCATGTAAAGTAAACTCCTGTGGCTCAGTACCGTTTTGTGACATCATTTTGAGCTTCTCTGTGATCCTGTGTTTATATGTGATGTTGTCTTATGACCATATAAGGACTGACCAATCAGAGGCCTTCATTCTGGGGGAAACTTCAGCTTTCCTTAGCAACCGTCTTAGCAACACGTCTGAAACTGTCTGTATGCAAAGCTTTATTATTAAATCCCACTGAGATTTTAGAATTTGTTTTTGCGGGAGTCCAGGCCCCAGATAGCCACGGGCTCTGTTAGTGACAAAGGAGATGCTAGGCTAAATGCTAAAGCTAGGCTAAATGCTAAAGCTAGGCTAAATGCTGAACCTCTGGTTCATTGACCCAAATCTGTCACTCTTTGATCAGTTACAGTAACTGTAATCTGCTGCGTGTGCTGAGACTGATTAAAGCTCCTGTGTGAAACTGAGCAGTAGCAGTAGTAGTAGCAGTAGTAGTAGTAGCAGTAGCAGTAGCAGCAGTAGCAGTAGTAGTAGCAGTAGCAGCAGTAGTAGCAGTAGCAGTAGCAGTAGCAGTAGCAGTAGTAGCAGTAGCAGTAGCAGTAGCAGTAGTAGCAGTAGCAGTAGCAGTAGCAGTAGTAGTAGTAGTAGCAGTAGTAGCAGTAGTAGCAGTAGCAGTAGCAGTAGCAGTAGTAGTAGCAGTAGCAGCAGTAGTAGCAGTAGCAGTAGTAGCAGTAGCAGTAGCAGCAGTAGCAGTAGCAGTAGCAGTAGTAGTAGCAGTAGCAGCAGTAGTAGTAGCAGTAGCAGTAGCAGTAGTAGCAGTAGCAGTAGCAGTAGTAGTAGTAGCAGTAGCAGTAGTAGCAGTAGCAGTAGCAGTAGTAGTAGTAGTAGCAGTAGTAGCAGTAGTAGCAGTAGCAGTAGCAGTAGCAGTAGTAGTAGCAGTAGCAGCAGTAGTAGCAGTAGCAGTAGTAGCAGTAGTAGTAGCAGTAGTAGCAGTAGCAGCAGTAGCAGTAGTAGTAGCAGTAGCAGCAGTAGTAGCAGTAGCAGTAGTAGCAGTAGCAGTAGCAGTAGCAGTAGTAGCAGTAGCAGTAGCAGTAGTAGTAGTAGTAGCAGTAGTAGCAGTAGTAGCAGTAGCAGTAGCAGTAGTAGTAGCAGTAGCAGCAGTAGTAGCAGTAGTAGTAGCAGTAGCAGTAGTAGTAGTAGTAGCAGTAGTAGCAGTAGTAGCAGTAGCAGTAGCAGGCAGAGGGGGGTTTCTCAGGCAGAGGAGGTTTCTCAGGCAGAGGAGGTTTCTCAGGCAGAGGAGGTTTCTCAGGCAGAGGGGGTTTCTCAGGCAGAGGGGGTTTCTCAGGCAGAGGGGGTTTCTCAGGCAGAGGAGGTTTCTCAGGCAGAGGGGGTTTCTCAGGCAGAGGAGGTTTCTCAGGCAGAGGAGGTTTCTCAGGCAGAGGGGTTTCTCAGGCAGAGGGGGTTTCTCAGGCAGAGGGGGTTTCTCAGGCAGAGGGGTTTCTCAGGCAGAGGAGGTTTCTCAGGCAGAGGGGGTTTCTCAGGCAGAGGAGGTTTCTCAGGCAGAGGGGGTTTCTCAGGCAGAGGGGGTTTCTCAGGCAGAGGGGGTTTTTCAGGCAGAGGGGGGTTTCTCAGGCAGAGGGGGTTTCTCAGGCAGAGGAGGGTTTCTCAGGCAGAGGAGGTTTCTCAGGCAGAGGGGGGTTTCTCAGGCAGAGGGGGGTTTCTCAGGCAGAGGAGGGTTTCTCAGGCAGAGGAGGTTTCTCAGGCAGAGGAGGTTTCTCAGGCAGAGTGATCTCAAAGCCACAGTCGTGTTAATAATTGATTATAACTTTGTTTTGGTCACGGATCATTTCCTGTTTATGTTTGTTTTTTACATTTGATGATTTTGCACTAAAATCATAATAAACGTCTGACCTCTGACCTTTGTCTGCCGCCGATTCATTTACAACGATCTTTAAGACCAGAGAGAGACCAGAGAGAGACCAGAGAGAGACCAGAGAGAGACCAGAGAGAGACCAGAGAGAGACCAGAGAGAGACCAGAGAGAGAGACCAGAGAGAGAGACCAGAGAGAGAGACCAGAGAGAGAGACCAGAGAGAGAGACCAGAGGGAGACCAGAGAGAGACCAGAGGGAGAGACCAGAGGGAGAGACCAGAGGGAGAGACCAGAGGGAGAGACCAGAGGGAGAGACCAGAGAGAGAGACCAGAGAGAGACCAGAGGGAGAGACCAGAGGGAGACCAGAGAGAGACCAGAGGGAGAGACCAGAGGGAGAGACCAGAGGGAGAGACCAGAGGGAGAGACCAGAGGGAGAGACCAGAGGGAGAGACCAGAGGGAGAGACCAGAGGGAGAGACCAGAGAGAGAGACCAGAGAGAGACCAGAGAGAGAGACCAGAGGGAGAGACCAGAGAGAGACCAGAGAGAGAGACCAGAGAGAGAGACCAGAGAGAGACCAGAGGGAGACCAGAGGGAGAGACCAGAGAAACACCAGAGAGAGAGACCAGAGAGAGAGACCAGAGAGAGAGACCAGAGAGAGACCAGAGAGAGACCAGAGAGAGACCAGAGAGAGAGACCAGAGAGAGAGACCAGAGAGAGAGACCAGAGAGAGAGACCAGAGAGAGACCAGAGAGAGACCAGAGAGAGAGCATGTTTCCTCTGTGTCCAAATCATATTAAAGTTGATGTGAGAGAAACAGAAACAGAGCTTGTCCCACAGAGAGAGTTTGTTTGGACCATCAACACTGAGGCAGCAGTTCATGGTCTGTGAGCAGCCATTAAAGGGGAGGTGTCATGTGGATTATCTGATGTTCGGACCAATCCTAGTCTGGATTAGAACATGTTACAAACGTCTCTTTACAATACACAATATTTCACTTTTTCACTTCAAAACTCTGGGGAGAGGGACAACTCGTTCTGGTCTCTCTCTCTGGTCTCTCTCTGGTCTCTCTCTGGTCTCTCTCTCTGGTCTCTCTCTCTGGTCTCTCTCTGGTCTCTCTCTGGTCTCTCTCTGGTCTCTCTCTGGTCTCTCTCTGGTCTCTCTCTGGTCTCTCTCTGGTCTCTCTCTGGTCTCTCTCTCTGGTCTCTCTCTGGTCTCTCTCTGGTCTCTCTCTGGTCTCTCTCTGGTCTCTCTCTGGCCTCTCTCTGGTCTCTCTCTCTGTTCTCTCTCTCTGGTCTCTCTCTGGTCTCTCTCTGGTCTCTCTCTGGTCTCTCTCTCTGGTCTCTCTCTCTGGTCTCTCTCTGGTCTCTGCTGTGATACCAGTTCTGTGCGTTCGCTTTGTCTTTTTGTGGATATAAAGGATCTGAGAGGAGTTTCTGATTGGTCAATGGTTCCAGAGTGGGCGGGGTCAGTGGTGTCATGTTTTAAAGATCAGACTCTGCAGAAGTTTACACACATCACACATAGTCAGCTTCACTGGTGTCGCTCCCAGCTGGTCCTCTGGTCTGCCCCCTCTGGTCTGGACCCTCTGGTCTGGACCCTCTGGTCTGGACCCTCTGGTCTGACCCCTCTGGTCTGACTCTGGTCTGACCCCTCTGGTCTGACTCTGGTCTGACCCCTCTGGTCTGACCCCTCTGGTCTGACTCTGGTCTGACTCTGGTCTGACTCTGGTCTGACTCTGGTCTGACTCTGGTCTGACCCCTCTGGTCTGACTCTGGTCTGACCCCTCTGGTCTGAGTCTGGTCTGAACCCTCTGGTCTGTGAAGCTGTGCGGTCGTAATTGCCCTGATTTTGTGTGTGTCCTCGTTGTACAGTCTGACTGTGGGAGTGGATCCTGCTCTCTCTGTGTTTGTTATGGGCAGCACAGTGGCTGAGTGGTTAGCACACTCATTTCTCAGCAAGAAGGTCCTGGGTTCAAATCCTGGTTGGACCAGGGCCTTTCTGAGTGGAGTTTGCATGTTCTCCCTGTGTCTGCTCCAGTTTCCTCCGGGTGCTCCGGTTTCCCCTACCACTAGAACCATGTGCAGTAGGTCTGAGTGCAGTGAGTGAATGGAGGGTGTTTGGTCGGAGGTTTTAATGGTCCAGAGTGTTCAGGTCCCGTCCCTGTGGAGGGAACAGAACTATATCTGATCTGGAACAATGTGCTATATAAAAAACTTTACTCACTCGTACCTGTGCTGTGACTGCGGTACATGACTCGTACCTGTGCTGTGACTGCGGTACATGACTCGTACCTGTGCTGTGACTGCGGTACATGACTCGTACCTGTGCTGTGACTGCGGTACATGACTCGTACCTGTGCTCTGACTGCGGTACATGACTCGTACCTGTGCTGTGACTGCGGTACATGACTCGTACCTGTGCTCTGACTGCGGTACATGACTCGTACCTGTGCTGTGACTGCGGTACATGACTCGTACCTGTGCTCTGACTGCGGTACATGACTCGTACCTGTGCTCTGACTGCGGTACATGACTCGTACCTGTGCTGTGACTGCGGTACATGACTCGTACCTGTGCTCTGACTGCGGTACATGACTCGTACCTGTGCTGTGACTGCGGTACATGACTCGTACCTGTGCTGTGACTTCGGTACATGACTCGTACCTGTGCTCTGACTGCGGTACATGACTCGTACCTGTGCTGCGACTGCGGTACATGACTCGTACCTGTGCTGTGTGTTGCAGAGGGAGCTGTTCGACCTGGAGCCCTGGGAGCGGCCGCGGGAGGAGTTCAAACTCTACAAGAAACTGGGAGAAGGACACTACGGCCAAGTGTGGGAGGCTCTGTGGAGCCCCCAGGGCCGGAAGGTGGCCATCAAGACCCTCAAGCAAGGTATGAGCACAGGTACAGGGCCGGAAGGTGGCCATCAAGACCCTCAAGCAAGGTATGAGCACAGGTACAGGGCCGGAAGGTGGCCATCAAGACCCTCAAGCAAGGTATGAGCACAGGTACAGGGCCGGAAGGTGGCCATCAAGACCCTCAAGCAAGGTATGAGCACAGGTACAGGGCCGGGAGGTGGCCATCAAGACCCTCAAGCAAGGTATGAGCACAGGTACAGGGCCGGAAGGTGGCCATCAAGACCCTCAAGCAAGGTATGAGCACAGGTACAGGGCCGGAAGGTGGCCATCAAGACCCTCAAGCAAGGTATGAGCACAGGTACAGGGCCGGAAGGTGGCCATCAAGACCCTCAAGCAAGGTATGAGCACAGGTACAGGGCCGGAAGGTGGCCATCAAGACCCTCAAGCAAGGTATGAGCACAGGTACAGGGCCGGGAGGTGGCCATCAAGACCCTCAAGCAAGGTATGAGCACAGGTACAGGGCCGGAAGGTGGCCATCAAGACCCTCAAGCAAGGTATGAGCACAGGTACAGGGCCGGAAGGTGGCCATCAAGACCCTCAAGCAAGGTATGAGCACAGGTACAGGGCAGGAGGGTGGCCATCAAGACCCCCAAGCAAGGTATGAGCACAGGTACAGGGCCGGAAGGTGGCCATCAAGACCCTCAAGCAAGGTATGAGCACAGGTACAGGGCAGGAGGGTGGCCATCAAGACCCTCAAGCAAGGTATGAGCACAGGGACAGGGCCGGAAGGTGGCCATCAAGACCCTCAAGCAAGGTATGAGCACAGGTACAGAGCACAGGGACAGGATACAGAGCACAGGGACAGGACACAGATACAGAGCACAGGGACAGGCCACAGGTACAGGACACAGGGACAGAGCACAGGGACAGGACACAGGGACAGAGCACTGGGACAGGACACAGAGCAGGAAGGTGGCCATCAAGACACTCAAGCAAGGTGCTGAGCACAGGTACATGACACAGGTACGCTACAGGACACAGGTACGCTACAGGACACAAGTACGGTAGAGGACACAGGTACGCTACAGGACACGGGAACGGTAGAGGACACAGGTACGCTAGAGGACACAGGTACGCTAGAGGACACAGGTACACTACAGCGCCCCCTCAGGACACAGGAGGAAGTGAATAATGTGGTGGACGAGGGAGATGAGACAAAGAGCAAGTTTCAAGCTCAAATGTTTGAATTTACTTTGGGACCAGCATAATGTGTGCTCAAGACACCTGGTCTCTCTCTGGTCTCTCTCTGGTCTCCCTCCTGGTCCCTCCTGGTCCCTGGTGTTGATGGTGTGTGTGTTGCAGAGGACACAAAGCAGGATGAGTTTGTGAAGGAGGTGACGGCGCTGAAGAACCTGCATCATCCCAAACTGATCCAGCTGTTGGCCATGTGCTCCAGAGGAGAACCTGTTTACATCGTCACCGAGCTCATGAGCAAGGGCAGCCTCAAGAGCTACTTAGACTGTAAGAGACACACACAGACACACACAGAGACACACACAGACACACACACACACACAGAGACACATACAGACACACAGACACACACACACACACACACACACAGACACATACAGACACACACACAGACACACACACACACACACACACACAGAGACACACACACAGACACACAGACACACACAGAGACACACACATACACGTTTTTGTTACCTGGTGGGTCCCTTTGACAGGGCCGTTCAGAATGGGACCCATAGACATAATCTTTTTTTACTGGGACTACTTTAAGTAATACAAAACAGTCAATAGAAACCAAACAACTATTTTAAAGGAATTTTATTTTAGATTTTTTTTTCGAATTGCAGTGATTCTATTTTCGACATAGAATTTAATGCCACTCCATGTCCGATGTCTAAGGTCATCTGGTGAGGCATTAATGCAGGCCAGGCCAGGCCAGGCCAGGCCAGGCAGTGAGACTTCCCAGGGACCTTTCCAGTCTGTATGAAAGGTGTCATGGTCTTCTCCACAGCCTTCACCTCAGATGCAGACCATGGCTTTCTTACACGTTCTAGGGAGAGAAATAAAAATATATTAGCAATATACACCCCCAGGGTTAGGACCAAGCAGCCTGGCTGTAATCCCCCACCTGGTACACTTACCAGAAGGGGCACTGCCACTACCATGGGGTGCATCTGGATGAATGGTTGAAGGTTCTCCGCTTGAAGTTTCTTTTAGCCCGTCCGTTTGTGAGAGGATCTCTACTGCTCTCCCTGTCGCACAGAAAATAAAAATACAAGTGGCCTTTAGGGGAAAAAAATCATACATATTTTAATAATATCAAGAATTACCTTCAGGCTCAATTTGTATCTGGTCGAGGCTCTTTCCTTCGAATTCCGTCACTCTTCCCTGCTCCATGGCCATCAACACTTTGCTGATTTTGGCCAGCTCCAGTGTCCCCTCTGGTAGTCTGTAATATTGCCTGTGGATGCGAATGTCATGGCCGAGGAAGTTGGCAAGTATGTCCATCTCATTCTCTTTCATATTGAGAACTGTAGACATAGTAGCTATGTGCTTTCTAAGTTTGGTTGAGGATAGCATCTCTGGATGCACCGCACCACATTCTTTGGCTACCTGGCGTAGGGAGTCTGATCCCCTGATGTGGGTGTCTGCGCCCGGGCGGGAAAAGAAGTATGGGTTATGGTCAGAGATGGAACAGGCCCTTCTGTTCTCCACCAGCACCTCCATCCAAGCAATCATTTCAGGAGTCAAAAGAACCGGCACTTTCCCACTTCTTTTCCCTTTAATTTCAATGCGTTGAAAATGCTGACACAGCTTTTTCTCAAGTTGGGACAGTCCCAGAGCAATGTCAGAATGGATCCCAGTCTTACTTCTTAAGGTAAAGGCTGTCAGTGGCATCTTTGAAACCTCACCTTCCCTTCTTCGATTGAAAATGATGACCTCACAAAGAGTCAAAACTGCCAGTTTAGACCAATGCTTAGAGGTTGGCTCACTTATTAGGGTTTGCACCATATTCAGGTCGACATACCTCAATATGTGCATGCATGGCTCTAACGTCCTCAGTCAGAGGGAGCAGGTCCGGAGTGTTCCACTTGGCTTGCCGGAGGGTCTGTAGGGCAGCAGAAGAAACACAGACGTCCCACCTCTTCTCAAAAAGCAGCCGGCTTCGTTGGAGGTTTTTAATAAATAGTTCATCAACACAATGCTCCATTTTTGAGTCACATTCAAGAATATCTGCTAGCTTTCTGAGGCTATGGCCGAGTTTGAGGGCCAAGGATGGAGTCTTGTATTGATTTGTTTCCTCATCATATCCAGCCACAGACCTGACTGCATCAATCACATGGTTAAAGTTGGAAGGAATAAAGAAATCCTTAATTGTTTTCAGTTTCCCTGCGGTTTTTGCTTCGTTAATTAACCTACCGACTTCTCTCATTTTCTGCCTAATGTAATCATGCTTTGTTTATCATGCCCGTGTTTTAAGTACAGGTGCTCTCCGAGTCTCAGAATCCCCTTTTCTGCTTTGACAACACCCGTGACCTCATCCTGATGCATTGCCCAAATTAAAGAGCACAGCTTTTTGCTGATGCCCTCCGGTACAGGCTGGGCTAGGGAGCAGAGGGACTGGACCCTACTTCTACCTGGTTTAGCCTGGTTTAGCCTGGTTTAGCCTGGGCATCTTTCTGTGAAAGCCGGCACCTGGCCACATGCCTCCACAGCGACTTTCGCTTAAGCAATGCCCCACAGTCTATACAGTGCAAAAACTCACTGGATTTAACTGGGCAATTTGGCTGTTTAGCTGGGACTAAAGTTCCAATGCCGGCCTTTAAAACCTCAAAATTGTGCTCACGGTTTCCACTATTCCTGATCAAATCAAACTGAAGTTTACGTGCTTTAGACTTCACAGGTAGAGCCAATGCTCTGGCTACGTCACTTTCATTTCCATGTTTTCTAGTCAAATGACGGGACATTTTGTGGCAGGACATTGAACAGTAGAGGCAGAAGTGTCTCTTGCTGTAAACTCGCCCCCCATTTTTCTTCTTTTGCAGCTGCATGATAACAATCTTATTTGCCTTTGGTTCGTCACTTTCCGAGTCTTGAAGAAAAGTGTTTTTGATTTTTCTTTTTCCATACTTTTTTACAGGTTTCTTCTTGACAGTTAAATCGTCAGAATCTGAGTCGACTTCATCAATTAGGGACTCTTGACTAAGCTGCACAAACAACAAATAATTTGTAATAATTCTATATAACAATTTGAAGTCATGACTTGTAGTCAGCACTTACCAGTGGTTTGTAAGCGTGCGCTTCAGTGTGCTGCTCTGTGATTGGCTGCAGCCTAATGAACCACACACTTGCACCTTTTCTAGCCTGACACCTGACTTCCTCTGTTGTGCTGCTCCATGATTGGCTCCGCCTCTGTTGTGCTGCTCCATGATTGGCTCCAGCCTCTGTTGTGCTGCTCCATGATTGGCTCCAGCCTCTGTTGTGCTGCTCCATGATTGGCTCCAGCCTGCTGGACTGAAATTGCCCCAGTGTGCCCCTCCTTGATATCCCGCAACCCACCACCAGGGTTCCGACACATAACACACTTTTTTCAGGAAAGTAAACCTCCAGGGGTCCTTTCCATATTTTTACAGAGACTGCATAAGGACCGTTAGAAAAGCATTACCCATTGATTATTAAGCTTGGACCAGTGGGGTCCGGTGTTCGGGCCCCACCACGTAAAACCAGTCCCCATGACGTGAGTGGAACCCACAGGAGTGGAACCCACCAGGACACACACACACACACACACACACACATACCCGTTTGAGACGTTGTAAGGACATTTTTTCTAAAATCCCTTTAAACCAGACTGTACATAGGTATACGGGGACACTGGGTTCCCGTGGTGCTAGAGCCTCGAAAATCATATCAATGATCATGAAAAAAATCACAGAACCTATACACGGCTTAAAATTTAAAGATTTCCTTTGCTGCACTGAGATATAAAAAATGACTGTTTTCAAGACTTTTCAGGGGTTTGTAAAGACTTTTCAAAAACACGGTCTATAAGGACAGTGTGGTTTACAAGGTCAGTGATGTCATCATACACACACACACTATGTATAACCTGGTTTGAAAGGACACATGGTCTGTGAGGCCTGGTCCGCACACACATACACTGTGTATAACCTGGTTTGAAAAGACACATGGTCTGTGAGGCCTGGTCCGCACACACATACACTGTGTATAACCTGGTTTGAAAGGACACATGGTCTGTGAGGCCTGGTCCGCACACACATACACTGTGGAAAACCTGTTCTGAAAGGACACATGGTGTGTAAGGACAGGTCAACACACACATACACTGTGTATAACCTGGTTTGAAAGGACACATGGTCTGTGAGGCCTGGTCCGCACACACATACACTGTGGATAACCTGTTCTGAAAGGACACATGGATAATGAGGCCAAAGAGACTGAGGCACATCATTATAATAATCAATAATCTATGGAGGATTGCTTTTTTAAGAGTTTGAATTGTCTCTGCAAACACGTGTAGAGCTTATTCTTCAGTCTACTGCCAAACTTTGTCATGTATTCCCTTGATACCTTCACTGAATTCCAGTTATTCCTAGTTTCAACTGGCTTCACCGTCTCTATCCTGCACTTAAATAGATGGTACATCTATAATCACTCCATTCTAAAAGAAAATGAGATCAAGCAACAAAAGGTTTACAGACATAACTGCCTCTTACCAATAGAGACGTGTCAATCACACACAAACTATATCTGTATCCACCAGAACTCAACTGCCAATCTGCAAGCATGCATCACATCTAGGGGTGGGCGATATGGACAAAAATAAATATCTTGATACTTTATACCCAACTCCCGATAACGACATTGTCACGATATCTTTAAAATCAAAAATGGTTACACAAAATTATCTGCAATGTTTTGCTTGCCATGGCATCTATAGATAAGAGACAGTGTAGATCAAAAATGAAGCTTTTTATTTTCTGAAGTGCTACACACATCTTTGCAAAACATGCACTAACATATATTAACATTAAAAATCAGATTCAAGAAACACAGAAAAAACACATCCAAAAAGGCTCAATATTTACTTAAATGTACAAATAAAGCAGTGATTGGCTTTTTAGGCACACATTAGACCAATGGGCATCTTTCCTTCTCTAATTGTAATATGTATTGGAAAATAAAAAAGATAAAGCATATTTTCAAATTGGCTTTCACGATATTATTGTCTACGATATATTTTGCCCACTCCTAATCACTTCCCCACCAGGTGTGTCACTGGTCTAAGGCGTGTCCAGGTGTGTCACTGGTCTAAGGCGTGTCCAGGTGTGTCACTGGTCTAAGGCGTGTCCAGGTGTGTCACTGGTCTAAGGCGTGTCCAGGTGTGACACTGGTCTAAGGCGTGTCCAGGTGTGTCACTGGTCTAAGGCGTGTCCAGGTGTGTCACTGGTCTAAGGCGTGTC